TTTCTTATATTTTTATTTCATGATAAATTTTTAATTGCTCTTGAACAATGTCTAACAGATATACGTGACAATCAATATTCATCAAGTGATTTTAGGTATGAATTGCTTGCTATGCTGTTCGAGGAAAAATATACCGTATATCAATTTAAATTGAGATATTATGATATCTATCAAAAACTTTATCCAGTGGCTACACCCTTAATACTGCAATGCATTTTAAATTATTATGAGAAAGAATACAAACGATTTTATTCAGAAGATGACAGGCGCGCATCACGAATGGATAGTGACGCCAAATATCGTGTATTTTTAAATGTATTTCCAGAATATTTGCTCGCAGAAGATATAGAAATTGTGAAACCTACATTAACAACGTCACAACTTGACATATTATGTCAAAAAGTATTTGAATGGAGCCATGTAGTATTTCATGTTACCTTCGAGAAAAATTTTAGCAACTATCGATTATCAAGTTTCTTGATACGTTTTTTGAATCTAATGAATTATTGCGTTCCGTCTGTTTACTTTCGTCGTTGTACACGACAGAATTTTCCATTAGTTGAAAATATTCTACGGCTACTTCATACACCATCCCTCATTAAAAATATAACTCATTTTTGTCCCCGCTTCGGGACGGAGGTCGTGGATCGTGAGATAGAAAGTCAATATTATGATTTAGTTATTGCAGCTACCACACTTCTTTATAATTTATCAGTTGAATCATGTACTGCTAATTATCTACGAGTTTTAAAAGAAGAAGAAAAACCAGCAGTGATATACACATTATATAAAGAGAGTAAAAAGAAGAATAACAACAAAGACAAGTTTTTTTGTGAAACATTGATTGGATTAATGGAAAATGACATCGATGAACTTGAAGAGCCAGAGGAATTAGCTGCGACCTATGTCAAATATATGTCAAAAGCAATGAATAATCAAAAGCATTCGTTTGAAAAAGTTCGATTAAGTGATGCCATTATTCATTTAAAAAGTGAGTAGACGAACACAGCATTGATAATAACTGTTTTTACACACTGTTAAAGAGATTTTTCTTAAATGGAGTACTTTGCAACAGTTTTCAGGCTTATGAGTCATGTAATCTCATGAGACTCAAGAGTGGAAACTTCGCAGAAATGTCTTTCTTGATGCGTCTTGGCCAGAGATGAGAAACGTTAGAGTGTGAGTGCGGATGTGGATGATAGATTAAGAAACGAATCCAAGTCAACATCTTCATATCCACACTCACTGTTATGTTCTCTCTTGCTCGTTTATTCGAATGAATCAAAAAAACAACACGAATACAAAAAACAATGATGATGATTCTCTTATCTCTCTTCAGCCATTCCAGTTCCACTCTGATATTATAGAGGAATATATCCTTCTTATGTCAGGAGATGGCTCCACTGGTATAACACTCACACCATCAGCTTGAAATTTACATCATTCAAGCCATAATTCAATAGTTTTGTAAAATGAGTGAAATCAGCAGAAAATGCTGAATCTAAGAAGCAGACCACCCGGTAAATGAGGGAAACTTACTAGAAAGTTGCCGTTGTCATACCCACAACATCGGCTTTGAATACGCCACCAGTATAACATTCATTAAAAATTATACTCTTATTTTTTTATCGTAGTATTCATCCAAAATGAAGCAGTTAAGACTGAAGTTGTAGCGCAAGATGGTTTGACACTTTTAACAAAATGTGCTACTGATCATCAATTCGATATGGCTTCAATTCAATATCCATCGATGGAATTAATATGGTCGATTATCTTTAATTTATCAGCTGCACAACTTCTACGAGCCAATAAAGTATTCGTTGATTATGTCATTGATTTAACAAAATCCACAACAGATGAGCCTGATAAGTATGTGCTGAAATCAGTTGCTGACGGTATTGATTGGCAAATGAGGCAACACCAAATCAAAGAAGAAAAGCAAAGAAAGGCTGAAAAACCAAAGAAATTAAGTGTTTTTGGTGTACCAATTGATCATATGGGCAGACAAATAACCAAAGAACAACGTTTAACTATGGAACAAGCTAAAGAGTTTAAATTTGATTTAATGATTAGTTATTGCCATAAAGACGCTGATTTGTGCATTAAAATTCATAAACGCTTGAAAGATACGACAGATACACGTATTTGGATTGATACGGAACAGATGTTTGGTTCTTTAACTGAATGTATGTCTGAAGCTATTGAAAATTCACGAATAATACTTGTCTGTTATTCAAACGCGTATAAAGAAAGTGCAAATTGTCAGTCAGAGTGTACTTATGCCAATGACTTGAAACGAACAATAATTCCGTTGCGTATGGAGTCAAATTATCGGCCGAATGGGTGGTTAAAAATTATCATAGGTGATCGTCTCTATGTTGATTTTATCAAATATGATTTTGAAACAGCTTTTAAGGATTTAATAAAACAATTAGAACGATACGATAGAAGATATAAAGAAATGAAGGGATCGCATCAGCCGGTAAATGCATCTGCTTCGATCGCAGCAGCTCAATCGCAGAAGAAGGCAAAAGAAATTAGAACAACATCACCACCACCGCCTAAGTTATCGGAGTCAAAAAATTCTGAAATACAGGAACCTACAGTTGTGACTGACACATTTAGTTCTCTTTCTTGTCAGACTAAAACTGAGGATCAAACGAGTCCAAACTCCGCCGATGCTGCTTTGTACGACAGCAAACTAATTACAGATTGGAGTAAGGAAGATGTCAAAAGCTTCTTTCATGATAAACACATTTAACCAATGTTAGACTTGTTAAATAATAATGTCAACGGGCACGATTTGCTTGATTATTACCAACAATTGATGGCTCAGAGTGCACCGTACGAATTAGTTAAACAAGAAATGAAAGAAACGCGTGGAACTTTTTTACCATTTCACATGTTTGTTACGTTTCGAAAAGAGCTGGAGAAGTTTTCTTCAAAAGTTAACAGTTAGTATGAAAAGAAGTACTTGTCAAATCATATGATGAACGAAAATGGGTAAATTCGTGGGATTTCTACGACTCTTGAGGAATTTTTTTAATCAGATTTTGATCTTTTAGTTAGATGCAGCATGCTCGAAAACGGCCGGAGGTAACAATTAAGATCTTTTTGGACATATAAAAAATGAAAACCTAGAATATTTTTGGGTACAACTCAACAAATTCGACAAATTCATAAATAAATTAAGCAATTTTCACTATGAAGATTACCTGATTTATATGTGAAGTCGCTGAATTGTTCCTACAAAATTATATGCATCTCCATATTTTATTAGTCGAAAAAGATTTCGATTGCTACCTCCAATCGTTTTCGACTACGACACGTCTGACTAGAATACCAAGATCGAAAAAAGATAAAAATAAAAATAAGAAGAACGAGTTTCCACAAAATGGTACAAATATGACGAATTCACTCAAATTCGAACTTTTTTCTGAACTCTAACGAATAGTTTTCTGTCGAATAAAACAATTGGCAAACCTTTGCAAAGACAGTGAATTAAATTTTCAAAAACATCAAGCAAGTTGGGTGTGGATGTGTGGGTGTGGGTCGGTAGGTGTGGATGCGGGTGACGATGTTGGTGTGAGTGTGGGTCTGGATCTGGGTGTGCATGCCAATGCGAGTGTGTGGGTATGTATGTGGGTGTGAAGGTGTGGGTGGATGTCGATGAGTATTCATCAAGATGTTATTAGCACGCACACTCACGCACCGCACATCCACACTCACGCTCACAACCAGATTCTATACCCATACCTACACACCGA